CTGCTTCAGTCAGCAATGCATCCATGAAATAACCAGCTGGAGTTTTGTTTGTATTTACCCTGGGGAGAGAGGTGGCAGTGGTGTCTTCATTAACATATTGGCATATTTATTGACATCAGTTGTCTTCAGTCTTGTCTGTTTAATTAATATGATTGAACCACTGAACATCTAGCTAATAATTCTGGGGCAAATATTCTAACTAATGTTGTAACTAAAACTGAGTCTAAGCCCCTTATTGTAAAATCTGCCATTTTGGTTGCCAAAATAATTAAATTACCATTAATGTACAATTTTTCCTCCATCCAAAATACATATTAAGCTGGATTTTCATTAAAACAATTAAGGACAAAAAATGTAAAATGCCTTCAAAGTAAATGAATGCTAAGAAAGGATAATGGAATTCCAGCTTATTTGGGTATAGAAAAGATGAAACAAATTATGGTAATGTCAGATTTTTTATAAGGCCTGTTGAATAGCAGCTGAACAGAGTTCATAGCTAGGAATAAAATGGGTGATTAATATGGACACATGGTGTAGGAAATACTTCTGAGCTGGTTTTATTTATTTGTAGCCCAATTGAATGCTTCTCTGAGAAGATGCCTTGCATTAATGAATTATTGGGTAAATTACTTTGTATTTCTGAGTTAGGTCAGAAATATATATTAAAGCATAAAAGCATCTGCAGCATCCAGTGAATTGTGGTATCCTGGCCTATAGGCAGGCACGGTTTTGTTTTTTCTCAAATGCATTTCTCAATGTATTACATTGCCCATTAGTTTGCTAATGTTTGTAAAACATCTTGTGGTGACAGATATGGCTTTGCTTAGAGACTAGAAGATGTGCAGGCATGAGTTATGTTTTGCTCATTTTAATGAATTTGGCTGATACTGAGTTGCTGTTGTGTGTGTCTCATCCCCACATACTAAGATGTGCATGCAGCAGGTTTTTTTCTTGGCTTTTGCATTTTCAGCTGCCTTGTCCAAAGGATGAAGGAATTTATCTCAATATTGTATATTATATGATGTAGTTATTAAGGGAATAAATAGATGTCAAATTAAAACTAGCAATTAAAAAGTTAGCCCAATCTTAAAGAAACATAATTGCTTTCCAAATACCTATGATAGTGTGATTCACTAACAATGTTACTTTATTAATGAGGACAGCAGCTGTGACCTGATACCCAGAAGCCCAGAAGGGTGACTCAGGCCAAAGCACTGTACTTAGTCCTTGTCTGCAACTGTTTCTAGGCTGTGTTCCAGGTATTCCTGC